AATGATTTCAGTGCTGGGAATCTTGATGCTCCAGAGAGTATCCTGATCTTCCTGAAACTCTGAACTCCAAATGAATCACTGATGAGGGAATAAACCAGTTTCCTTGACTCCTGAAGTCCACGCTGGGAATAATTACACAACCCTCTAGGGATTAATAAGTATAAGCGTGAAACAGCAGGAGATGTTTGTGCTTTTAAGCCCTTCATTTAGACAGTGATTTCTTTCGCTCACGGACTTAAAAGCAGTCAGACTTGCTTAATGCATATAAAATGTTGTTTTTAATAATTCACATTTCAGTAACAATAGTTATTCATCTGATACATGTTTTTGGTGCAACCACTTAGTTTACCTACTGTCTGAAATATGTAAATTTAGCTCTTCTCAATTTAAGGCCAGCCTCCCTTTGAGCCTGCTGATTGGCTGACCATCCCAAACAGCAGGTGGGTGGGGATTCTGCACTCAAAGACAGAGCTGTCTGACTGAGATGATCATATTAGGATTATCTCTTCCCCTTTCCAAACATTTGGGTATGACAGAAAAGCATAATGGCTTTAAAAGACAAGCTGTCATTAAGAGAGCTGTTAAAAGACTGTGAGTACTTGCTTGTTTACTTTGATGGCTTCTTATTTACATGTGAGTTTTTGTCACAATATCACGATCTAAATGTGATAAATATTGGTCTATTCCCCCCCACGACTTTTTAGGATGTGAAATGAGCTCCAGAGAAGCCTCAAAGGTCCTGTCGTATGTGTAGAAATGAACCTTGAGCCAAACATTACTCAGTGGCAAAATACTCACCACGTTTTATTTCAGGCAATTTAAACATTTAGAGCTGTATAAACTGTTTGTTTTTTTGTTCACATTAAGAAAGCTGCAAAGGAAATAATAGAGCAGATGGTGCAGTGGCAGTATAACATAGTTTTATGTGTTAAAATATCTTTTTCATACACCAGAGGACCAGTTTGTTTAATTTTTAGAAATCATTGCACTGTGGTTGAAATGCCTGCAAACCATAAGCCTGAAAGGAAGTTTTTAGTTCCTTAAAAAGGAACTTTGGGTGGTTAATGTACAGTACAATACTGTGCAAAAGTCTTGAGTCACCCATCATTTCTTCACATTTTGCTTCCAGCAGCCAGAGTTTCTGAAGCCAGAAGTAATTTTTGTTTCTAAAGTGTTTTTAATTCTCCGGGCTTTCTGAAATCATCCTTTGGACGCTGTCCACTTTTCCACTTGTTTTCATTCAGAAATGTTTTTGTTTTTCAGTTTATTATACAATTTATACTGACCTCTGGATTATTCAAGCATAAAAAAGCACTTAACTCGAGTTACCTATGTGTGTTCTATCACACAAAGAACCAATTTTAAACTTTATATTTAGGCTTTTGTTACTAACAGACTGTCACAAAACACACTGACATTATAGTCTACGAAAAATGCCAAAGACGGCACAGTCTGACAGGCATGAAAAGGTGTAGGTCCACCAACAAAAGCAAACCCAAATTTGAAATTTTTGGTTAAAATCTTTGTCAGTAGGTACAGAGGAGATCAGGAAAGAGGTACAACAGTCTGTATTCTAAGTTATGTTGGTGCCTGTTTTAATAAATCTCTGCACCTTTCTCTTGTTTTATATAAATATAAAGAAATGAGTGGTAGCCCAGGACTTTTACATACCACTTTAGATATTTACGTTTCAGAAAGCAGACTGGCTTATTGTCCCAGACTTTCATTCCTAGGTGTGGAACATTAAAATGACCTTTATTAAAAAGATAAGATGTAACTCAGTATGTTTTTGTTATGGTCCAAAAAAGACTCAAACAAACTCAAATGGCTCTTAATATAACTCCTACAATACCAAAAGCCTCCATTGTTCAACCAAACAGCTTTAAAGCATTAAACACGCACGTTTGAGTCTATTTCAGTCTATCGTACAATCAAACAAATACTCACAGGACCCCCAAATGTTCCGCTGAAAATAGTCGGCACCAAATGCACCATTTAAGTAAATCTGGATAACAAGTACAATGTGTGACTGTTTAGAAAATTAGCCTTCTTTTAAAACTGAAAATATATATTTTGATTGTTCTGGAGGAGTGGATGGAATAAATGCAGTCTAGATGTTAGTAAGTTTGGGTATTTTAATGGGATTTCTACTTTCAAAAATATAGATTATTGCCAGTTCCTCTAATTTCAGCTCATTCACCTGGAATGGTCATCACATGTATGCGTGAAGCTGCAAGCAGTATAACCACAGAAATCTGAGAGTGGTCTTTTTATACATCAAAGACATGCACTGCTAACACGGAGCACGACTGCATACAGTATGGTGAATCTGTAGCATTCCCGTGGATAAAGCACAGGAAATGAGGGAAGTTAGGAAGGAGAGAGGGACAGAAAGGACAGAGAGAAGAACAGACTAACCTCTCTCCACCTCATTGGTAGCAGCTGCAACCACAAAAAAGATGACAGATGATAGAAAGCAGAGCAAGATGGGAGAAAAGACACAGGACAGCAAAACACAGAAAGACAGAGAGAGAACACCGCCACATAAGTTAGCACTCAGAGATGATTAGCACAGTGCAAATGCAGACAAACAAGTAGCAACAGATCAGCGTTAGTCAGATAAAACATTTGTCTTTTGTGACTTCTCTGTAAGGATAGAAGACTTTTTGTGGGAGATATATTCATGCTGACTATTTCTGGAATAAAGAGTTTGTTTTCTATTTTCTAGACAGCTTCTATACGTCTACAGTTTGGATAATGTCAGTGTTAGTAAGGCGATAAAGGAGAGAAAAGAAACTTTCAGTTTGGTAAAAAAAAAATCAAAAGTAAAGGTTTTTGATTGAATAAAGTTGCAGCCATAAAACTCAGGCAACCCTTCCAATGAAAATAGGTCAAAAAACCTTTCTGATTTAAATTTGGCTAATCTTTCCATCCAAGTGACCGAGGTCGCTCCATAATGTAGTGGTCGACACATTTGCTGGGTAGGCAAAAGGTTGGTAATTCCATTTCAGTCAGACTGTAAAACTCTTCCAAATCAAACACACCCAGAGCCTTGTGAAAATGGAACAGCTGAAAGGTTGACATGGCGGTGTGGTGGTTACCACATTGCCTCACAACTCTGTGCAGAGTTAGCATGTTCTCCATGTCTGCCTGGGTTCTCTCCGAGTATTCTGGCTTCTCCCCACAGTCCAAAGACATGGACTGTGGGACGATTGGTGATTCTAAATTGCACATAGATGTGACTGGTTGTCTTTATGTATTAGCTCTGGAGCTGAGTGTCAGCTGGTCCAGGGTGTACCCTGCCTCTTGCCCTCTGACAGCTGGGATAGGCTCCAGCCTTCTCGTGACCCTGAATTGGATAAGTGGCAGAAAATGAATGGGACTCTCTTCTTGTTCTAACCTGAGGACTTGTGTCCCTGCTATACAGAGTGGATGTCATTGTAGTCTAAGGAGCTCGGAAAGAAAAGAGTCTTCTTCTTTAAGTTTCCTTGAAGAAGTTTCACCTCTCATCCAAGAAGCTTCTTCAGTTCTAAGAGCAACTGGTGGAGAGTCCCAGCCCTAGTGGGGGTGTTCCTAAGAAGGTCATGGACCCCCTATTGATCCTCTGCCTAATCACTCAAGCCAAGGTGTGAAAATGGGTGTGGGTCACAATCAGCCAAGGTTTCGGGTGAACTCATTGTGAGACCTTGCCCCAACCTGTTATGTGGCTTGCTGAGAACAAATAACCCAAGATGTGAGTGGATGTTAAGGTGTCTGGTAAGGGATCTCAAAACTGGATTATAGATGGCAGACAATTGGTATCGTAAGATACCCCCTCTGTTCAGAGATGGATGAAAGGTGAAACGTCTTCAAGAAACTTAAAGAAGTCCAGACGCTTTTCTTTCCAAGCTCCTCAGACGTGTCCTCCAGTACTGGAAGTGTCTGGAGAATACAAAGACACAGACAAGCTGGTGTGCTGGTGTGGCCAAAAACTGTTTTCACAGCACCACACTTCAGGTTGTTTATGCTTATGAAGTCTCCCCCAGAGGCCTTAAGATACAACAGCAGAACTTCTCACTGACAGTCACGTTGCACAACCTTCAGAAAACTGCTGCTTGGCAGGTGATTGTCCTCAGATTAAAAATTGGGTCAGTTTGACAAAGAAGTTGATGTTGATGCCTGTGCGGGGGCGTGGTCCATTGTGAACACATAAAAGGGGTCAGCGTATTTTAAGCAGCCACTGATTTGCCTCATTTTGCAACTCTTGAAGGCAGGATTTTCAAAATTTAAGCCAGAAATGATTTTCACTCTTTACGGGCTGAGTGGCGTAACATTTTGATTGACTCCCAAGGTGCACTTTGGTAAGAAATTTCAAGTCACTGAGCCACAAAATTCTGTTATTCATGCCTCTAAGCATAATATTGTATGGTACTTTGTTTTCAGATGCTCTAATTTGTTCCTCTGACACACCTCTTCTCTGTGGTAATGGTGGCCTGTCTCTATGGGTACTGCAGTATTTTAGTGGCCGACATCATGCAAAAAAAATAAGAACACAACACTGAAGTAACTAAAACTGATGGCTATGACACAAACCTACAGGATCCCTGCATTATCAGGGAGAGTCCTGTATTTCTGTGTTTAAAGAAATAAATATAATAGGAATACAGAATGGGGAAAACATGCCAGCCTCCAACATCGGCTCCTTCTTCGTTCGTGATTGTTACCTGTGTATTCTGGTGAGCACATGCATGTGTAGTTGTTGATTCCATCAACGCAGGTGGAGTTATTCTCACAGTCGTTATCTTCACAGTCGTCAATGTTGATCTCACAAGCGTCACCTTCGAAGCCCTCCGGACACACACACCTGAGATCAAACACGGAAAGATGCAAGCGCTCATAAATAGGTGGATAAACACCTGTAGGGTCACATACACTACACTGAGCTCTAACATTAATGTAACTATTGATTCATCCTTATTAGATTAACAACAGACAGGATTTACAGAAGGGAAATCCATCGATTTTTCATCTATGATAAGATGAAGAGAGCAAATATTTGGTAAATTATCCGGAAAATAAAAAAAATAATTATTTTAGTAATTTTGTTGGAAAAAATAAAGGTTGCATTGGTGTGCTTAAACTTTAATTTCTTGTTAGCTTGCCAGGACAAAAAACTGTAGAAAAGAGTCAGAGATGAATAACTAATGATTCAATGCAAAGTGGTGTATACAAACCTAGAGAGCTCAAACAGGTGAGTGAAGAAAAAACACTCATCATCAGCATCCTAGGCCTATAAGGAAGGATTTGGGATCACCTGATATAGCCCTAACTATAAGCTTTATCAAAAGGCAAAGTTTTAGGGTTAATCTTAGAAGTAGAGAGGATATCTGTCTCTCGAATCCAAAACTGGGAGCTGGTTCAACTATTTTTAAACACCCTTGAAACTACAAATAAGCCTGCAGCCTGAGAGTGAAGTGCTCTATTGAGGGTATATGGTACTATGAAGTCTTTAGGATAAGATGGGGCCTGAATGTGATGAGAAAGATTTTAAATTTGATTCTGGATTTAACAGGAAGTCAACGAAGCGACGCTAACATGGGAGGAATATGCTCTCTTTCTAGTCCCTGTCAGTATTCACGCTGCAGCATTTGATCAACTATAACCAGAGACACAGAGGCAGCATTAGCACACAGCTGGGACTTTCATCCCATGATTTTATTCAGAGCAGCCCCTCGTGGGTATATAAATACATTTTACATATAATTTAGGTCCCATCGCACACACTATCAAGCTTCATACACAGGCGTGTTCGGCTGTTCTCGCCAATACTCTCAGTGGCCTCAAACAGACACCAGGTAGGGATTTTCTGCCCAGTGTGGGGATGATTGTAAGCAGTTGATTACTACTGAATAATTGCCAATATATTCAGCAACTAATTTTGTGTGGGTGGACAATTTTATTGAGTAATCATTGCAGCTCTAATAGCAAACATTGCACGAATGTGGGGACCTGTGAATATCAGACATATTTAATATCCCCTCCGTCCCCACCCCATCCCCTCACTGACACACACACAGACATACACAGACACACACAGATAAACAAACACACCTACACACACACTATCCATGCATGCTGCTCATAACGGCAGAGTCAGCTCCATCTACATATCCCCAGAAGAGAGTCATTATTCTGTTAACGTGAGCGTGCCTCAACTCTGTAACTACTACTCAGGTTTATTACAGCACTCTCTCTATGACACACACATTTACACACACACACACACACACACACACACACACACTGAGAGCGCTATATTATGGGTCTAATAAAGAGCTCTTATGCGGCACACACTCGGGTGGATTAATATCTCATTATATAGTCGGCGACAGCTCTTCACGATGAATATTCCACCCCCTGCGCTGGAGAGGGAAAAGAAATCATACACCGATGGAAATACGGACATAAATGGACAAGAAATGGCAGCAGAGGATACGGAGAGAGGGCAAAGAAATGGAGGACGACAAACGGGAGGAGCTGGGGTTTCTTAAATCATCTGCGTACGTTGTTAAGATCTGCTCGGAACGAGCACACAAACAGGCATTAGCTTCCCTACAGTTAACACTAAATAGACTAATGAAGAAAGTTCTCACAGCAGGTCTGTCCACTTTGCTCTGGAGACACAAAAGAACCAGTCTCCTGAGCCATTCGCCTCCCGTAACTTCATCACCACCTCTAATTACCGGTGCAGCATCACTGATGGAGGAATCAGCTGAGAAACCACAGATTACCTGCACGTGTGCTCTCTTGCTATCTGATAGCTGATGTATGGTGTTCTGGATGGTTGGTATTATGAACAGATGCTTTGCGGTAACACAGTTATTGATGTTTATTTGTATTTTCGCTCAGCTCCATCATCTTCCAAGAATGAAACAGCCATAAATGTTCTGTTATTCTGAAAAGGAAGTTTTACTTTAGCACCTTGAGCACATGTCCTCTAGCTCTATCCCCCTAATCCTTACAAAACACTACTTAAAATGTATAAAGTTAAGTACCACCGAGTACACCGAGGGGCCTGTAGCACATAGAGGACTACAGATACTGGAGTTAGAATACTATTGTATGAAATGTTCAAAAGAGAGGTCAGAACTGATGCAAGTGAGGCTCTGACATTGCAGTTCCTTTAAAAAATGTTTGATCCATTAATGCGTTTTCTTGGATTTCCCATAATGCAATGCGCCCCATCAGGTAAATGCTCACATCTTTCAGATGTAACACGGCAATGCTTTCTTTTTTGTCCCAGCCAGTTTCATCATCAGAGTCCACTTTAAAAAGCTCTCTCCAGAGCCTCACAGGTGGAGTAGTACCTCCTGATACACAACAGGTGGATATTTGTGTGTGAATTAAGGAAAATGTCTCTTTAACATAACTTGCGGGTAAACTGACGGTCAAGACTAACCAGGTTGGATAAAATATCTCGAACGTCTCTCACCAAAAGTTGCTGCCTTCTCCTTCTTTCAGGTGGCAGGTTCCACCGTTCTGGCACGGGTTACTGATACAGGCGTGAATGGGTTCGTCACAGTTTTGGCCCTGCGTGCACAACACAAACACACATATGTTCAGCGCTCTCAAACAACAACAGCTTCTTAAAATTTCCACCTATTGCATCAGTTGACTTTGAAAGTGTTGTCTCTTATCCCTACACTCGTTCACAGATGTATTCATCTGGCTCACGCAGGAATAATCTTTCTACGTGTCTGAATGTGTAAGTTTGTACTCTGCATGAGTTTTGAAAGATAAGAAGTGTTGTCTCATGGGTGTGTTTTTTTTTTCTACCAGTGAGTGATTGTAAAAGATGCTTTGAAAGAGCAGGTGAATATGATTCCTTTTGCTTTCTATGCTGGGTGTACCTTAAATCCATAAGGGCATGTGCAGCGGTAGTAGTGCACAGGGTCATTGGCACATGTGCCGTCGTTCTTGCAGGGGTTGGACAGGCAGGGATCACACTTAGCCTGGATATTTATATCCACTGGGCCTATATGGTGCACCAATCCACACAAATAAAACATATACACAGGAGAGATGATTAACAATGCATAAAATTTGGCACATTGGAGAGTAGGAACACTGACTAGATTTACACAGAGGGCTGTACATTATTAGGCAGCTGCAAAAGCTTCAAATGTCAACTTTTTCTGCAGAAGACAAGGATGGTGGTTTTTACCCTGCATTCTATATACACTTACTGGTCACTTTATTAGATACACCTGTTCAATTACTCGTTAAGGCAAATATCTGTGCAACTCAATCCAGGGGCATAGACACAGTCAAGATGACCTGCTTGAGTTCAAATCAAACATCAGAATGGAGAGAAAGGTGATTTAAGTCACTTTGAATGTGAATACTTCAGTCTTTCCCAAACAGCCATTTCTATGGTTTACAAAGGATGGAGCGAAGAAGAGAAAAGATTCAGTGAGCCGACGCTCTCTGGACAAAGATGTCTTGTTGATGCCTGAGATCAGAGGAGAATGGTCAGACTGCTTCAAGCTGATAGGACGGCAGCAGTAACTCAAATAACCTCTCAAATAGCATCTCTGAATGCACAGCATGTCGAACCTTGAAGAAAATGGACTACGGCAGCAGAAGACCACACCAGGAGCCAGGTTTATGGTTTTAGGGTAAATGGATGGATCCATCCTTCCTTGTATCAGTAATCAAGGCTGGTGGTGTAGGATATTTTCTTGGCACACTTTGGTGTTTAAAATCTTTTCAGCACCACAGCCTACCTGAGTGCTGTTGATGACCATGCCTATTCCTTTATGACGACAGTGTATCCATCTTCTGATGATGGCTGCTTCCAAAGCTCAACTAATCTCAAACTGGTTTCATGAATTCACGGTCTCCAAATCTCAATCCAGCAGAGCACATCTGGGTAAAATGGAAGATTCTCATCATGGATGTGCACCCAATAAATCTGCAGCGACTGTGTGATACTATCATGTCGATATGGACCAAAGTCTCAGAGGAATGTTTCCAGCACGTTGCTGAATTTGTGCCACGAAGAAATAAGGCACTTCTGAAGGTAAAAGGGGTCCAACTGTGCACTAGCAAGGTGTATCTAAGAAAGCGTCTGGTTACTTTTACTATGTTGTTTAGTATTATCACGAGGAGGTTTCACTTGCTCATATATTACAAGTATTGCTTGAGAAAGATGACATTTCTTTGCAGAACCATATCATGTACAGAAAACACAAGAACACAATGCTGGTCAGAACATGAGGGCTGAAAGGGAAGCGGAGCGGTTCTGACTGAACAGAGAGGAAAACTGGGACGGGACTGTCTCAAACTGGAGAATCTGGGATTGAGTAGAAATACCGTTATAAGATACTTTACCTGGCACCAGAAAACCACAAGGCCCAGGGACTTCTACAGTGCGTCAGTCAGATTAGGTCAAAAATAGATTTCAGTCTTGTGTTCAAAGTTAAGTGATAGAATAAGGTTTCAAGATTAACAGTAGCATTTTTCAAGCATCAAGAATCTCAAGGAAACGTATAGAGTTAGTATATACATGTTAAAATTAACATTAACGTTTTTGCCCAGTGAAAACAATATCACAGTAAGTGTAATATATACATAGTGCTGTTTTGATTTTTGGCAACTTGTGGTCTCCTTTGGGAGTTCTCCTCAAGTGTATGTATGTTTGCTAGCACAAGACCAGACACTAATTTAACCGTATTGTGTCGTTTCTTTGCCTAGCTCCTGGAAAGCATTGTATTGCTGCACTACAATATGTCCATTTACCTGTACAAGTGAACTTCTTGGAGGGTGTGGTCAGTAGAAGTTTGTCCGTCATGTCGCCGGGCCCGGCACAGCGAGCAATGCCAGGCTCCTTATACCCGCTCTTCACCCAGTCTGACAGCCACTGCATGTGACAGTCACAGTACAGAGGGTTGGCGCCCAGAGCCCTGCCAGCCGATTGGACAAAAAGTGAGACAGCAGAAGAAATAACTGGGAGCATTTGAATCATGGTGGTAACAGTGTCACTGTTAGATCAACTTATTTCGGTGTTAAATAAAGTTGACCATGAAGCTTTCGGGAGTGGCGGTGTTTGGATTGTCACTCTGATCCACCCTTTCCTTGTCACGTCTGGTTTCAAAAACCCAAACTGGTAACAACCACAACTCTCAGCTACAAAACCAAGGGGTGACATCATGGTGGCTACACCATCATTTTATATAAAGCCTTGGGTATTAGAACTGTCTGTTACAAGCACTCTCCATGGTGCTGATCCTTGTGAGCGCCTCACGTAGACTCACCAGGCATCTGCACCCTGTATGACCACGGTGCTTTTTCTGCAGCCTGCTTAGTTTTTTTGATACTGCACTAAAAAATGAGAGCAATATCTAGTGCTCGCACTCTTCCTCTGTATGTCTTTCTCTTTTGTTCATTTCAGCCATGAGATCGTTGTCGAGGCAACACTCAAAGAAAACAACAGTAAAATAAAGTAAAGCAGAACAAAACCTCATTGAATTACATCAGCTTGTTTTCTTTTCAACAAAATATTTCTGCTTCATGGACTTCTCGTTAGAATATATAATCATGACTCTCTGATTTTTCTGCTTCTGCTCTGGGCGTCCTCGTCACAGTGGGTGTGGGCTTTTTATGTTTTGCATTTAATTATTTTAGCAGATTTCCCTGAAAATTCATTAACTACCAGGGGGGAAAGTCCCTGGTAATTTGCCCCAAATTACAACACAGTGCATTGTATTCTTCTTATAACTACTATTTAGATTGCTAATACTAGAAGTGGTTAGTATGTGGATCTCACCTGACCGGAAAATATGGATTCTGTTATTGAATGTTTCTGAAAGTGTTGTGATCACACAGCCACACAATGTCCATTTAACATACAAAGACAGATACTCGTATAAAAAACACATTTATGCCATTCAGGCCCACCTTTGTGTAAATTGCATACCTGGCTCATTGTGAAAATTGTTTGTAAACCTCTGAGCTGTGACTGCATATAACCACTGACGCTCTGCTACTCAGCTACAAGAAACAATCCTGTGTGATCACTGATGGCATGACCAGTTAGCTGGACAAGGATGTGGCATCTGCATAAACCACTTCTTTGTTATATTTTGTTGTAAATGGTAAAGGAAAACACACAAAATTAAAGCGAACGATCTTCCCAATGCTAGAAAGGACCTCCAGTCGACATTCATAGAGGTCACTGAGCAGATGGCCAGGTAACATCCTGTCTGACGACGCGTCACAACTTTAATTATAAGTTTTGTTCTGTTTGTGTTTTTCAGCTCCCTGCTGTTACTGGACAGATATATTCACGATGATTATGTATTTCTTTGATTTGTTATTTTATAAGGGGAAAAAAAGGGCAGATTTTTCCAACACACAGCGACACATGACCAGTGATGTTTCTGTGTTTGCGTGTTACTCACAGGTGGGAAAGCGATGACAGGTCTTTGAAGGCTCCTTCTGGTATCAGTGATATGTCATTACCGTGAAGAGACCTAAGAAAACGTGATTGAAACAGGATGAGATACAATAAAAAACGATTCGATGATTACTTCAGCACTAATCTGACTCTCTGGGACATTTCCCAGGATCAGAAAGTTCAGATACTCACAACAAACGGAGAGATTTAAGTCCGTCGAACGCCCTCTCTGGTATGCATCGCAGCCGGTTGTAGCTCAGAATTCTTTGCAGACAGAATTAACAATTTAGCGCGGACACAAGGCAGATTTTTTTCCCCAAGAAATCTTTGCATGCAGCAAGACAATTCAGAACACAATCCTACTTCTGACTGAGATAAGCAGGCAAAGCAGCAAACATGAACAGTTTAATACACTCATTCATATGCAGGTCTCACAAGGCAGTGATCTAGCACTCAGAGTGCAAGTTTTCTTCCTTTTTTATGTGTATTTTGTTTCTTTTATTTACAGCAACTAAGAGACAAAACATTTATCACACTGGTGCGCAGACTATAAACTGGAGAAACTGCTCTCAGATGTATATATCATGTACTGTTTTCTCCAGTGCCTTCCACTCTTTTCCTGTTTTATTTTTTCAAAATGATTCTTTATATATTATTAAAAATGAAGTGAAGCTGCAAGCTAGTTCAAGGCAGCATCTCCAGCTGCACTGGATCTTTGCTCTCCCTGCTGCCCTGAGTTGATGCCAGCTGTTAAGCACCTCCGCCAGTCCAACATCCATCTGTATATTTACTCATCGTTCCCCAGTTTTGTATGTAATATATTTGTGGGGCAGGGTGTTGAGCTCTCAGCCAGACTCTAACTATAGTTTGTTGTTGTAATAAAGTAGCACTTGAAAACATACGTTGTCTGACTAAAGTGAATTTTTGGACTAGTTTAGGTGAAGCCAGTATTTTATGACATCGATGGTTATTTTGTGGCAATAAAATCTTTCAGAGATTCCCCTGACTCTCTTAGGACTGGCTAAAAATCACATGCGGTCATGTCACCTTTTCTTGATTTCTGCTATGATTTTTTTGAGGCCTTCTTCTACTTGAGCATTTATGAGCTTCTTGTCCACACATAGTCACAACTACGCCTAAAAACAAACACTCACACACACACACACACACACACACCGCAAAGGCATATGTAAAGCCAGACTCACAGGGTAAGCAGCTCGGACATGTTACTGAGGCTGTGGTTGGACAACGTGCTGATCTGGTTGTTACTCAAATCACTGGAAAGGAAACAACAGATACATAAAACCCACACAGGCAGCACTGTCCATACATGCGTGAACAAACCCACACGCGTGCACAGACTATGGATTCTGTAATGCTCCTCCTTTAGTCTATCGTACCGAGACTGTCACACCACATCAGGGCCAAACAAAGTCACAAAAATGATTCAACACAGAGTTCAGTCTGTTAGTTGTGATTAAAAGCAAAGTGCAGGAAGCACAGACCAAATCCCAATCCTTAAGTGTTTTCTTTTTGCGTTAAAAAAAAATGTGTGTTAACCGTACTAAACTTGGCAAAGTGGGATTTAATTATCTGTGTGAAAGTATACAATATCTCTCCACTGAGGTGCTACGGGTGAGACTTACATGAGCGTTAAGTGTTTGTAATTGGAGAGCTCCACGGGAACTTGAGTGAAGTGATTTCCATCCAAATACCTGAGAGTCAGAAAGACAGCGTGGGAGACAAAGAACGAGGGAACACGGGGGTGATATGGAGGAGGATTGGTAAACAAAGGGAGAAAGTGAGAAGGGAGAAAATGAAGTGTTAACCATGTGGGAAATTCCTCATAACCAGTGTGAGCAGTCATTACTGCTGCAGCCATAATAAACACTGGAGTTTAATATCCCCACAGGCGTCTCTTGCTCAGACATACACACATTCACGGGTGAGATCCTATCTCTCACTTTGTGACAATGTGCTATTAATCCAGCATATTAATTAAGTCTTTGTTAATACTGGAAGAACCTTGTCCCCCAAAGGAGACACAGTAGAATGAATAAAAATACCACTAAAGCTGTGGTCTGATATTTAATTCAAGATTATAATACTCTGATCATTAGGGATTTTTTGTTGAGCAGGACTTTATGTACCAAGTGTGATCAGAAAGTTTCAGGACTGATTAAAATTAGGTCTCAAGGCTTCATGGCTGAATACTGGTGCAAGCTGGCAAGTGCCACAGTTTTAAATGGATGACTCAGGATGTTCCAGTATAAATCTGTTTTAATAGTTTTCACTTTTTGGAATGAATTCAAGTACACTAACGTCAGAAGAATGAGGAGCATCCACCTGATTGTGCTCCTCACCTGATGCACTGCTTTGGGGCTTAGAGACTGTGGACTCCTCAGCTAAAAAAACTCTCTGTGTCAAAGTCTCAGCTCAAGATCGTCTTAATGATCTTCATCTACTGTATATGCATTTTTTTTTTTGGCTGAAACAGAATTTAATGTTTACTCTGTGGAAGTGTGAGATCTGGTTTAAAATCTCAGGAACATGATCGCAAATAGTCAGATCAGAAGCGGAAGTGATCCAGGAAGGTACAAAGACAATCAAAATGAAATGAGGGATAGTTTTTGATTATTATGAGTACACAGCTATACCAATCAAAATTATTATTACAACACAAATGTCTTCTGATGACTTTCTGAGAAATAAAATTCTCTTTAAGTTCACCGTTCCTGTGTCTCTGTGTCTCTATAAGCATGTGTTCTGTGGTTTTCCACCTTTCTGAATGAACATTTCAAGCTCCAGTGAGGTAAGAGATTGATTCAGATGCATAGCGTAATAAATCTGAGGTTTTCTGAAGTCAAAGACGGCTTCAACTTCCTCCATCCACCATAAGTTTGAGCTCTCTGTGGGCACTACTGAAATCCACTCTGACTCTGACCTCTGCTATGGCCTTACTTTTCTCAGGACAGCCTCTGGGGTGTGAGAGGACAGCATTTCTTTGCCAGACTCACTCGTTGTATCCTCCATTACACTGCTATTCTAGCTCTACATCTGCACAGTCTCACTGCAGAGATAATTTATCAAGTGTCTCATGATATTGCATCAGACGACTGATGCAGACCTTGGACATACAGCCAAAGCTATAAAAAGCTATCTTTAGCCACAAGATGAACAATGAGTGCTGAAGCAGGTGGCGCGGCCCCAAGGAGCACTGACCTTAACTGATCTTAGCATCACAGATTCAGTCTGGGATTAGCTACAGTGCACCAGCGCAGGATTGCACGCTGGCACGAACCACTGTTTAGATCAGATCCACTAAACGTTCCTGACCCTGGTGGATTAACTGTCTGTGTGAATCTATTAAAAACGAAGCAAAGGATGCTTTGTTGGTTTGTGGACTCTTCAACTGCCAATCGTTGTTTAGTCTGTGGGTCACAGCTGGAGATTCAGCTCTAACTGTAATGAGCGTTGGGTCAGTTTGACTCAGAGTGGAATGTTTGTTCTCTGAACAAGATGTAGAAGTGCAAGCAGTCAACAACTGAAATCACTGATTGCTTTTGTCATTAGCAGGGAAAGTGTTAAGGGACCAAACTAAAAGTAACAATTATCTCAAAGCCCTGGAAGTGGTCTGGACCCGATCTTAAATAATTTATGTTTCTTTATGTTTTCAGGCACATTTAATAGGGAACTTTATGATTGCAGCTTGTAAAATGTGGAGTTTGGTTAAGCTTTATACTAAAGGGTGTGTTTGTTATAAACTCACAGTTCGGTGGTCTCTTTGGGGAGGCCTCTGGGCAGCGTGGTGAGTCCTTTGTTGCTGCAGCGGACCACGGTGTCCAGACAGGAACACTCAGCTGGACATCTCAGCACCGGAGAGCAGCTGTTCTCATCATTACCTGATGGTAAAAGTGATTAGGGATAAAAAAGCTGTTTTAGAGAGACGTGTAATATCATTATTATTTTCTCCATCTCACCATCTTCACAGGCAAAGTCCTGGACAGCTACATCCTGGATGGGGATCTCCTTCAGGAAGTAAGGACTCTGGCAGCGGGGGTTACCAGTGACGATGCGTTTCCTTCTCAACCAATCACCAAGCCAAGCCAGGTGACAGTTGCAGTTAAAAGGATTAGCCAGAAGGTTTCTGGAGAGTAGGAAAGTAAGGTGATGAGGGTGCTCAGCATTATTATTATTGTTATTATTGTTATTTTTTGCATTTATATTTGTCACATTTGTGGGTTGTGTTGTTTACACTCACAGTGTGGACAGGGAGTGCAGCGTGTCGAAGGCTCCGGGGTTCATGGAGGTAATCTGGTTGTCATAGAGTGACAGCAGACGCACCGAACTCAACCCCACGAAGCTGCTGTTGCTCACACAGCTGATGCGGTTGCTCCTCAGCATGCTACCCACACACAGGAAAAAAGTGAATGAATTAACCTGTACTACAGTTAAGTATGTAGTATACATGTATATACAGTTAAGTATATACACTTATGTTTATACCCTAATGAGATAACACCTTATTTTCAGGTCTTTGCAGTAGTTAATAGCGATTAACTAATAGCTAATAACTAAAAAAATCCCCACATAATTCCTTATAAATTATATGTACATAACACTACATACGTCTTAAAGATCATAAACAGTAACACTTATTAACACTTTATAACTGTGTAGGAATGTCACTAAAAGCCTTGACCTTCCTCTAATTGTTTATGAGACCAATGCAGTTGCACTTTTTGAGTTTAACCAGTGGCTCATATTAAATTGAATAAGCATTTAGTTTTGCTTTATTAAGACTGATACTATTGACTTTATAAAAAAAATCTAATCTGCATTGGTTTCCTCAGGATCTTAGGGTCTTAATTATTATATATTAATTAACAGTTAATGGTGGTTTATTCCCTGACCCCTGGAAAAAAAATGGCATGGGCCCTTGATTGTTGTCAAGGTAGATAAAATGTAAAATTATATGCCTTAATAAACATCTTTACAGCCTCATGTGGATCGTATTACCTATTAACTGAAGCTCATTACATAAACCTAAATATGCAGTGTTACCTGGTGAATTATGCATGCTCATATTATTCTGTGTTTGACAGTGTCACAGTATGTGGGAACGTCTTTGGATATTGCTGGCATACTTAATACATATGCATATGTGTGAGTGTGTGGGTGTGTGTGTACCCACAGTGTGCGGAGGCCACTGAGTCCCTTCAGCATGCGGTGGTGTATGTTCTCCAGTCTGTTGGAGGTCAGAATCAGCTCATTGACCCCTGAAGCTCCTTCAAACGTTCCCTCCTCTATGTCAGTGATACGGTTATTACTCAGGTTACTACACAGAGCGGGAAGCAGGAGGAAGGAAAGTAAGAGAGCAGCAAGAAAAGAGAGATGTAAAGAGGGGGTGGGAGGAGGGGGTGGGGGGTTACGTGTATAGAGAGAAACACACATAGTTCATTTTAATTTCTATATCCGCATCTGTCGCAGTTTTCCTCTGTGTGACCCGAGTGTGACTTCGTGACGTTACGTCCTTGTTACATTAAAGACATGTCTGACTCACATCTTCCTCAGCTGAGGCAGCTTTTTGAAGATCCCCGTCGCCTCGAGCACACTGAATTCATTGTTGTTCAGACGCCTGAGAACAGAGCAAAGTAGAGGTGGTTAGAAACAAAGAGAAAGAGGCTCTGAGGTTTCTTCTATCCCACACATAGATGCACTTTGTAGCAGACAAACACGGCGTGACTCACAGCTCGGTGGTGTATTGAGGAATGTGATCAGGTATTTTGGTGAGTTTCTGGTTGGAGCAGTCGACGGTGGTGCCCTCGCAGCGACACTTTTCAGGGCAGGCCAGGTCTGCGAAGCAGTCGCCTCCTAGCTTACTACGGTAATCCTCGTTACCTGGTCACAATCATAACCGCAGTGTCACTAAATGTGCAAGAGTCAAACCCCAGCATTTACTGGCACGGATCCTGATAGAAACACCAGCACAATAGCAGAATTTAGAGACACTGCTCAAGGGCTGTGCTGCTTTTTTTTTTGTTTTTTTGTTCGTCATAGGAAAAGAAAGCTGATTACAATCATTTGCAACAATCCCCATAAGCTTTGGCTCAAAATGCTGCATTGTGCTTCGCAGCCTTAAAGGAATCAAAATAACAGGAAGCTACACAGACTGTGAAGATCAAGACAGACACACACAGACGCACATGCACTCACACGAGAACAAAGATATTGGAGGTTTTCTGCCCTGTCAGACTACAAACAAGCTGAGATCTCACCAGAAAAATGCTCATGCACATACAGGTAGTCATCTATCATAATGTACAGACACTGAGGCTCTAACTCAAGCTCACACACATGCACACACACACACACACACACACTCTTGCAGGGAGTGACAGGAGTTTGCTGTCTCTTGCGCCATGCTGTAGGGTTTTGCAGGGCCGTTCCATGGTGCTTGAAAGAACCATGTTCCACGATAGGAACCTGGCAGCCACATGGTTAGATCAAGCACAAAGGAACAACCTGCTGACTGACTGCTCCTCCGCTGGAACACAGGGGTGGGAAGGACAGAGGAGACAGGAGGAGGAGGAAGAGCAAAGGGAGGAAAGGAGCTGAGGGGAGAATGAGCGTGAAAAGAGGCATAGGAGAGGAAGTGGGAGGAGAAAGGAGGAGAGAAGAACGAAGAAGCCACCTGATACTGAAAATGTGTAATTTGCAGCGAATAGAGAGGACAGAGAGGAAAAATGATAAGAAGGAGGATATCAGACAAGGTGTTCAAAAAGTTGCAGGAATAGAGGGAAAGGCTCGAGGAACATCTACAGACATCTACATCACAGAAAGCAGAGCAGGAACAGGGCAGCTGTTACGGAGGAGTGGGAGGAGAGTTACAGCAGCACTGAATGCAAGAGAAGCCCTGACTTCTGGGTAATACACACACAGACACACACACACAGACACACACACACACACACACACTCCAACACACCCCATAGGTATATAAACAAGATAAAAATACATGAACCATTGTGCGCTAAAGTGTAAATTGTAATTATTATTCTCGTCACATCGTTGTTGATGGTGAACAACAAGACAAGAGGAGTCACAGAAGGGTCATTGCAGTTGAGGTCAAAGGTCAGATGCCGGTCAGGGACGAGAGGTGAGGGATTCAGAGCGGACGAAGAGCCTTGTGCGTTTGTGTGTGTGTGTGGGGGGTGTGTGTTACTTACAGCTGACATGGTGTACTCCTGAGTGTGTTAGAAAGGCAGTAGGAGAAAGAAGAAGGGATTTCACTCGTTTATTTGAACAGGAAGGGAAAAAGCTGATGAAAAACTGAGTGCAAATAAAAAAAGCTGCAATTTGTGCTGCAGTCCGTGTTCAGACCCCAGGCAGTGATTCATTTAAAGGACTAATGACTCGTGAATAGCGAGAATCGTGCTGGCGTGACGTGACACAGAACGGGTACATTTATCGACACACGTCCCGGCCTCTTCCAGTCGAAGCACGGCGCGATTTAAACCTATTCTGGGGAGACTGTGAGGCAAAAAGCATACATACACAGATAAAAGAGCCTCATTTGCAACAACAGAAAAATGAGGTAGGATCTGAAATAAGACAACAGCGTAAATGCAAACGAGAGGATTTTAGGTGTATTGATCTTAGCCGCAATATGAAGGTTGGACCGCAGAATAAAACATGTTTATTCAACTTTTCAACCGAAAATGTTCTTAAATTATTCAGCTTTGCCCCGTATGTGGTATCTGGGCTTTGAAACCTCTGTCCCCCCGGTGAGCTACAGAGTTAATGACTGCAGTGAGTGCGCGCATACACACACACGCTTGCGCGCACGCTCTCTCATGCAACACACTTCGTGGCCCCTCTGTGTGCTGCTGTGGTAATGACCGCCTTTAGCCCTGCTACTGATCTCATATGCATGTCTCATTTACATATTTCCCAGCACCCCTCTGAGCATGATGACTGTGTGACCTTTTGATGTTCTGCAGCGAAAAAAACAAACGCAGATGCTCACAGACACACGCTCATACATTAGCTGTCATTAGATTTGCTAAGAATCAAGAAGGACTGGCATTAAATATAGTCTCTGTGATCGCTGCACCAGGGTCCTTTCATTTAGCCAGACAGACAGAGCCCAGCTGACAGCGACCCAAGCTTGTTAATCCAACTGTTTTTCCTCCCTCGATCATCAAGGTTGCGTTAACCATCGAAAACCCAGTGCAAGGACAAGAGTGTGATTATCTGGTGTCTGGTTAGACGCGGTGCATCATAATGCATGACAGACCATTAGCAGAACATGTTTTGGCATTGAATAGGTGTCGGACAGGGCAAGTCACTCAAAGCGTCGAGGATGTGCGAGTGTGAAGCATCAGCTGTGAGTGAGCAAACAGTGGTTTATACACACACACACACACACATACACACACTCATGCTCATTGTACAATACCTGGGATGAAATACTGTTCTCTAGCTAATAGAGAGACAGAGAGAGTCAAAGTGAAAAACAGAAGAAAAAAAGCTACACTAAAAGACAACCCACTCTGGCTGTGGTTTGGCATGAAACGTGTGGAAAATCCCAGAAAACGCTAAAAACAACAGGGAGATGAGGTTAGTAGAAAGAGGCTGAGGGAAAATCCCAGCAGGAAGACACAGAATGAAAAGAGAGGAGAGGTCAGCTTGTCTTGTGTGTGCATGTAGATCAGAAATGTAAAAAAAGAAGAAAGAATTAGCCTCTACTATGTACCATATTTACACTAGCTATATTTGTGCAAGCTACTGTATGTGTGTAGATGCAGTGAAGTGCATGTGTGTGCGTGTCTGTACCTGAGCAGCGGAACTTCTTGCTCTTGATTTGCCCGATTCGTTTGTTGGCGAGCCGTCGAGGGCTGGTGCAGCGGGCGCCGCTCGTCTCGATGGGATTGTCCTGCAGGTAGTCTGCCAGCCACTTCAGATGGCAGTCACAGATAAAGGGGTTTTGCGCCAAGTGACTGCACAGAGACACACAGAACATACAAAACACATTCAGGTAAGCCTAATGGGAGCGTGTAATAGCACCATGTATGTGAACAGCAGCTCAAAGACTGATACTGGAACAGTGTTTACATCAAAAACCTTTATTTTATTCTTTAAATTAAAGGACCAGAACAAATACCTGGATTTATTTCTCTTAAAAATGATATGAGGTGTGTGACTGCAAGGAGTCTGTATATTTATCACTTTGTTATAACAATAATTATTCTTCTGTTATATTCTGTTATAATCACTAACCAGTGATGAGAAACAGAGCAATAAGTGTCTACACAGGAGACTATAGTTAGAGCCAAAAAGATGTTCCTCAGTTGAATGTCTATTGAGTCTCTTGAAAGAAATAAAACTGAGAGCATGTTGCCTCCCTCCCATTTTGAAGCATTCATGTTGACTGACGGATTTATAAGAGAGGTTAGTTAAATTCTTAACAGTGGCAAAGAAACTGCTGTTGTACTGTACAGACAAAAATTGTATTTTTTAACAGTTGGTACGTTATTCCAAAAACGTAATTGATTTTTGTTTATGTCGGCGGTTGTTCATTTATAAAGCTTGCCGGTTACTGCATTTCCTTATTTATCTCTACAAGTCTGGTGTGTGTGTGTGTGAGTGTGTGCATACGTACAGTGTTTGTATGGCTCTTAGAGATGAGAAAGTCCCCTTGGCGATGGTCTGGAGCTTGTTGTCATACAGTGATAGCAGATTGAGGTTGTGAAGGTCCTGAAACGCGTCCACGCGCAGGCATGCTATCTTATTAGCATTCAGTAACCTGAAGTGACAGAACAAAGGAGAGGGAGAGAGAGTGGGAGAAATGGAAATGAAGGCTCACCCCGTTATCGTTCTCTGACGAGTGTTTCAAATGGTGCAAGTCAGTGAAGACGGCTTTCAGTCATGATGCCTCAACTCTGATGACAATGTTTGAGGTAAGCACTTTTCCGCTGAATATCGATGAGATGCAAATGCGACTGATTTTGTGCTCGTCTGTGTGTTTCTACTCACAGTAGCTGCAGAGAGAACAGCCCCTCAAAGAGTCCTTTGGAGATCTCTGTGATTTTGTTCCCATATAGTACCCTGCAGAAAACAAATGCAACATTAATAACAACAGTCAACCTAGATCGTACAGGGAGTCAGACCTCTCTTTTTGTCTTGTGTCTGTTTCCAGTGTTTTGGTTCTTTACTCAACCAAAATTGCAAAATTAATATTTTCTAAAGTGGTAATGTGGGAAAATATGAGTGCATTTGGTGTAAACTCGTGTAAAAAAGGAATACAGCTCCCATGATTTTTTGTGTGCGTTGTGTTTTTATTGTAAATGCTGCCCAGTACCTTGGCTGTAATAGCTCAAGGTACTGGTAATGACTGACAACTACAAAATCACCTACTGAGCAATCTAAAGAAATCTTTGGTAAAACACGAAAAGTAGTTACATCTAAAAAAAATGGAACTAAAAGTAACTTTGATTGTTGCCATTATTTGCAGTATCCCACAGCACTACTTTCCATTTATCTGGGCTCTAGCATTCGAACTATGGACCATTTGTGTATGAGGTGATATGTTAACCTTTGCCCGACAGAGCTGCTGGATGAGCATTTGTTTAAAAGCATAAAGAAAACATGAATTGACAAAATACTTCTGAAGAAAGTGAAGAAAAGTTTCTGAAAACACTCGGCTGACAATGATCTTGAACAATATTTTGCACTTTTAATAATAATTAAACCCATTTTCTTTCCTCAACACAAATGTATAACCAGCAAAACAAGTTTAAAGTACTCAGCTGTTAAGAACCAAATACTAAAGAATTATGGTCATTAAAATGTCTTAGATTAAATCTGCACAAGTGACACAAACTAACTAGAATTCAGCAGAAATTACTAAGAGGGAAAGCATTTGGCTTTTTTACTCAAGAAAACACAGAAACACACAGGGGGGAAAAAAAGTTTCAATCACTTAATCTGACTTCGTACCTGGCTGTACATGATATATAACACATGACGATCACTTTTCATTTAAATATCATAAAAAATTAAGATAACATCCATAAATCTGGCTGTGGTGTTATGTTAGGAATGCACACTGTTATCAGAGAATAGCTTTTTTTTTTATAAACACGCCAAAAGTGCTACAGAAAAAGGAGAAGGCTGAGACTGCCACTGCCTTGCCCCAACAAATACCTCAGATGCAATCACACACACACACACACACACACACACACACACACACACACACACACACACACACACACACACACACACACGAGACATCTTTATGCCCTGTGAACAGAGTTGTGTATTCAGGCTGAAGACATGTGTTTTGGATCGGCTTTTTTTTCGTTGTGCCGAGTGGCCGTCCCTGAGAGAACCGATGTTGGGAAACACGCGGCGTTGGAAGCGGATGCTTCATTTATGTCTCGCAGACGAGTCAGCACATATAGTTCTGCTCGTTCACACGCATACGCGTACGGACACATGCGCAGATGCCACCTATGGCTCATTTACACCCTCTCTAACCAAACACTGACGCACAATAAATACACAGTGTGGCTTAATGTGAAGGCCATGCTGCATGTGGTGTGTCAGCATGAATCGGTGTGTCCCATTCTTTCTGTGCCGAATGTGTAATGAGGTGGCAGAAGCCTCCATTCAGCAATTCAGCATTTATGAATTATTGACTTTGGAGAGACGAGACCTTAATGTAACTCCTTCATGAAATAACTCTCCATCCTTCACTTCCTCCTCAGCTCCTCTCTCCACGGTCCTTCCCGCAGCTTCACACGCAAAGCAGATGGTCCGAGCTGAGTCAGAAAGCCAGCAGCACCGCTGCTTTTGCTAAACACGTATACGCTTTTGTTTTGTGCGTTATGTTTTGTATGTTTATTCCACAGATGTGGGTGTAGTTTCTATCCTTATAAACACAATGAGAAGGAAAGAACCACAAGCAATCAGATGATAAGTGTCACAAAATTATTATTCCAACTGGATTTTTTTTTTTTTTTGCAAATTAAAAAAATGATTTTTGGATGAAACCAAATCTTGGGGATAGCTTGGTTAGATGTTTTGGCTGCTCGCTGAAGGTAATTTGTTTTCCAGGCACTGTAATATTGTTTAATTTTTCCTTTACAGTCTTGGTTTTCTTTCTTTTTTTTCTTTTATAAAGGCTGAAAAGGTGAAAATGCAAAGTACTGCAGTCAAATTAAAAAACAGATAAGAATCCAAACTTTGCTTCAGCACCACAGATACAGTGGTGAGAGAAATGATCTGCTGACAATATTGAAAGAAAAATAAGAGTTTGTCAGGAAAATCTTCATCTTGTTGCTTCATTGGCGATCGTGGCTCAAGAGTTGGGAGTTCGTCTTGTAATCGGAAGGTTGCCGGTTCGAGCCCCAGCTTGGACAGTCTTGGTCGTTGTGTCCTTGGGCAAGACACTTCGCCTACTGGTATTGGCCAGAAGGGCCGATGGCGCGATATGGCAGCCTTGCTTCTGTCAGTCTGCCCCCGGGCAGCTGTGGCTACAACTGTAGCTTGCCTCCACCAGTGGGTGGATGACTGGGTGTGTAAAGCGCTTTGGGGTCCCTAGGCGGCACTAGTAAAAGCACTATACAAATGCAGACCATTTACCATTCATTACTTTTGATGAAACATCTGAAGTGCATTGCTATTTCTATTGTTTTTTCCCTGTCCATATTCGGTCCCACGCTCCCGTCACGTATCTGCAGTAATGGAACTTTAACATGGTTCCCAGCCATCAAGGAAAAAGGAGCTCTCCTATACAAAGTTACTGGGAAATTAAAAAGTTTGCGAGGTCCAAAGTTTGAGGATCTTTTCAGGTGTGGCTTGCTTTGTGTTTTCACTCCTAATGAAGAGGTTGCTGTAATTTGGCTACACTGTTGTGGGAAAATCCAAGTGTTTGTGTTTGTGTTTCCTGTTTCTCTTTCTCAGTATGTTATGGCCATAACAGATCTCAGATATTAAACTCCTGAGCGCATTATTCACATAAAATATAAAAGCAGTAGCTAAAAGTGAAAAATAAACGGAAGTTATGGAGCATAAACAGATTTTAAACTTTTTTGCGCCCTCAAAGCGGTGCTTCAGAGTGTTTAAAAAAAATACAACTTCAATATAAACACACCACACAATACTCACAGCGAGTTGAGAGAGCGCAGACCTTGGAAGGCATCCGATGCCAGCTCTGATATCTGGTTGTTACTCAAGTCTCTGTGAAAAACAAAAGGAGAAGGGAACAAGAAGCAGAAGCATAAAACCAGAGAGTCAGTGAGGAAGAGAGAAACACAGAAAGCACAGCACGGAGGTCAACACAAACTGGAAAGTGGCCGGCAACAAAAGTTTTTGTGGATGGTTGACAGGGTGCAGAATACACGCATCTCCTCATCTACTCACATCCTGCGCAGCTTCTTATAAGGAGAAAAGGCCCCAGCTGGTATCACCTTGATGGCGTTCTGCTCCAGTCGTCTGGAACCAAACATACACACAGACCATTGAGAAGCGACATTAACATTCCCCTATCACAGAGCTATCTCTGCTCCATTGTTGGCTGCTGCTCTTTCCCCGGGGGCTATGGCTAAGGGGAAACTTTTCCAGATAAGTCCCTTTAATAGGCCCTGCCAAAGTCTGCCACATTTTTCTGATCTTTTGCCCTCTTTAACATCTGCACAGTCAGACGGACACACAAAAACACAGCTGTAACATCTGGGAGGTGTTCCATTAGGTCTGACTGTGCATCGATCTGACGATGCCATTAGAGTGAAAAGACGTGGAAAAAAAGAAAGAAGTGTTTATTCACTGTGACAGCAAATTAAACAAAAACAACAGCTTCATTGTGAAAAATTCTCTCGCTTTCTAAACTTTTCACTGCTGACATTTTTGACTGGTTGTGCATACGAACCATAATGTGCCTGTTCTATAGTGGTTTCAGCTGTTTTGAGTCTGAAGTGAAAAGAAACAAGTCCTTTTTAAGCCTAAAATCAATCAGGACAAGGCCAAGTCAAGTGTAAATTTAGACAAGTTGATGCTCCGCTATGTTAAGTCCAAATAAAATCTAAAATCGATAAGGAAGTTAATGTCTGAAGTCTTGTAGGTCTTACATAAGGTTTCAAGCCATTTGAAAGAGTTCCAGGTCTTAACTAAGTAAAGAGAAGTCCAAATTATGCCCCAAATCTTCCTGTAGCATTTAAAAAGTCTTAAGTTAAAGGAGACAAATAGAACTTTTATCCAATTCAGTGAAGCTGGGTCAGGTCGCCATTCTGCTCTAGGGCGGCACAAATCCCAGAGATGTTAAAAACATAACGCTAAATTTGATCTTGAGTCTTGAAAAACACGTCTTTTAGCAGTTAAATTAAACGGGGGTCTTTGTTCTTATCAAAGCAAGCAATGGGTCTCAAAATCAGTGAAGTGACTTTGAGAGCGAGAAGTCCAAGTTAGGCTTCATGTCTTCATAGTCATGGTAACCAAAGCTTTACCTTCAAAATAATGCAGATATTGTTTTTAAAAATGAGAAATATACATTTTTTTAATGGTTTTAATGGCAGAGCTGGAATGCCATCTGAGAACTCATGTTTCATTTGCTCTGGTTGGGTGTGACTGACATGTCTCAGTCCCAGTCACAAATCTGTATTTAATATAGGGGGCGATCTGATGCAGTGACAGACGTGTGGAGACGTTATGGTCTGTTTGTACTTTTACAGCACTCAGCACTTTGTTCTCCACCTGCACCATGCATGTCGGTCAGTGGTATACTTCACTGCCGTTCGCTGTCACATTAGTCGTTCACCTTGCAGTTCTTTTGTCTCTTGACACTGCAGTTGGCTACATTTTCACTGACATTCAGATCTCTGGTCACCACATCGCTGCCAGTGGCCGTGGTCTAAAGGGAGTCCTGTCTCTTTAGAGCCTCTGCAGTGCCCACAGATCTAATAACCAGTCTCAAGACTGTCAGCCCTTCAGCTTAGCCCAGCTGTTGGGAAGAGAGAAGTCTAATAGACAAAGACTGTCTTTATAATGAAGTGAAATCAATTGTTAAAAACTGTAGACTGAGATAAATTGTCTTCTCATGAGTGCTTTATCACATTTAAAGATTGTGTTGTGCTATTTCTCTTTGTTGGGAAACAAAGAGAAAGAGCAGCAGTGTGATGTCCATTTAAGTCTGACTCAAGAAGTCCAAATCTCAAATCTTAAATCAACGTCTTATTTTTTGGGACTTTGTTAAATCTGCTGGCTCTTCTCCTTCCACTTTTCTCCGATTCTCACTTACAGATAGCGATATGATCCACCTCGTCTCTCAGATTAATCTTTCAATTGTTCTTCTTTTGTCATTCCTTTATTATTTTCTTAAGCAGGAAGGAGCTGCATGACCAGGCTTTCTCATTTCACAGATGTGTGATTTTATTTCGCCACACAAAGAGAAGTAGTGAAACAGAAAGGTGGAAAGAGACAAAGAGGGAAAATGGAAAGACGCAGAGTGAAAGAGCAGGACAAATATCACTGCTCCGAGTGTGGATGTGGGAGTTTTGTGTGTGTAAGAAAAGCGGCTGGAAGCAAACGTGTTTACTTGGATCACAGGTCTTACATCTCGGTGATGGTTTCGGGCAGGTTGGTGGGTATTTCTGTGAGACCCTTTCCTCTACAGTCCACAATGTTGTTACTGCAGGTGCATGACTCCGGACACTGTAACACACTGCAGGAGGAAGATGATGACGACTGGTGACCTACACAGAGACAGAGGGCCAATATTATCCACGGATAACAGATTATGCTTTGAGTAAATCCCAAAGGCAAAGAAAAAAAAATCTGCAGCACGGCTAGAGCAACTGTGCAAGTGAGGGAAATATCCTGTCCTTAGATGTGACCTTGTCTATCTACAACTGTTTTCTATTCTCGTGTTGTACAGAAAATCAGATCGAGGATATATATTTTAGGAAATGCAGCACATAGAGTTAAAGACAAGCCACTTACCTTCATCCCAGTCTTTAAAAATCATGAGCAAAAAAGGTAATGAGAGAAAGCAGACGAGACAAAGCAAAAGATGGGTTTGCCACTGCGGAACAGCGAGCCGAGGGAAGTCACAAAACAGACAGCAAAGCAAACCGGTGAACCCGACCTACCTGTGCACACAAACTCCTTCTTCTGCACCTCGGCCACGTTGTGCCCCCTCAAGTGCGGAGGGGCCATGCATTGCGTGTAAAGACCCAGCCGGGGGCGCTGTCGCAGCCACTCTGACAGCCAGGCTACGTGGCAGTCACACTGCAGGTTGTTGGAGTGCAGGCGGCTGAGGGACAGAGGAGGAGATGGGACAGACAAGAACAGGTGGGGGGAAGGAGAGAAATAAGAAGTGTGATGACAGGGGAGGCAGGAGCAGGTTGGGTGGAGGGAAGAGAGAGAGAGTTGCAAATACACATCAATCAATCTGTTACACAAATGGACACGGATGGGAAGAATCCTTCCCCTCAGGGCAGCGAGGTGTACCAAATACACAGAGATGCCACTTACAAGGTCCTGAGCTTTGGCATGTGGTTGAAACTGGCCACAGACAGTCGGCTGATGTTGTTATTGTTCAGGGTGCTAAAGAAGAAAGTGAACACACAGCATATTACAGATATGCAGAAAATCTGTCCCGCAGTATTTTACTGTTACCGTGAAAGAGGCTGCAGTGTCATACAGTGCATTTGTAATGTAACACAAAAACAATCAAAAAACAACTCTTTTATATTAATGTGTTCAAAGCACTACCTTGTTAGCTTCTAATTAGCTCTGTAATAAATCACATTTAATGGAAAGCTATTGAGCCTTTAATCTTGCTTTTTCTTTTTCTTTCTTTTTAGACATCGGCTTAACACATAATCCATTTATTCGCTCCCGGAATGCTCAGACTACAGAAAATCTTTTGAATCATTAGAAATCAGATACAAATAGATGGTAGAGTTTATTTGCCTGATCGAACGATCATACCTTTGCACGTTTGCTTACAGCTCTGCTTTTGGCCGGGCTATAAAGTGCCCACTTAAGGTACTGACTGACTTTGAAATCAAAGCAAAATGAATATTACAGGCATTAATAAGTACTTCAGGACAACAAAAGTGTCAATTCTGTGTGCCTAATGGCCCCATTAACAAATTATGTGAAGAGTAGGGGCACTTTTATTTCAAGACACGTCAGGACTGCATGTCATCTTACAAATGAAAAAATCCTGGATGCCCTGCACGTGAAAGAACATACTATTCTTAGAAAGATCCTTAATGTGACACAGAAAATACTGTTAAAGATGTTTTGGTTAATGATAGAGAAGCACAATCGCTAGCCAATACAGCAAAAATCTAAAACCCCAGCGACGCCTCAGCTGCTCTCTTTCTCTCCTCAAGATGTTGGTGAACAAAGAAAACTGTCGTGCTTTAACTTTATTTCAGAAACAATCCCCAACAACAATTGCATATTCTCTGCTTTTTATATTTGCCTTTCCTATTTCGTTTCCTGAACCCCTGCTTCAAGCACCCTCTACAATGACAGCATTACCACAGAACCAGGCGTTAGTGCCACTGCTCAAAATATACCAATTCATTCCTTTTGGGGAGCTGCATAGGCAATGCAGTCTTTGAAAGGTCAACAAGGAAATTAGCTGTTCTATACTGTACTGCTGTTAGTGCTCACCAAACCCTCTGCTTTTTGCAGGTACTCACAGTACTTCCAGGTCACGTAGCGCTCTGAAAGCTCCATCTTCAATACAGCTGATGTGGTTGTAGTCCAACTGGCTGCACACACACATGTACACACACGGAATTAAAAGAAAGGGGAAACTGAAGACATCAAGGTGTTTAAAAGGTATATCTTAAGGCTTCGGCTGGCTCCAGGTGAAAACACCTCAACTCCTTAGTAACCTCTCTCTGTCTCACCCTCACCTTCTCTCTGTTTTAAAAAAAGTTTGGTCTCCTGGTAGCTTTGTTCTTCGTAGCTGCATTTCTGAATGCATTTATCTGTGTGTTCATTTCTGTTTCCTGCTCTCTTCTGACATCTAGTTTGTATGCGCTGCTCTATACCTCGTCCCTCTTCCTCCCTCTCCCCCGACTCTTTCTCAAAGTCGGTTTGCTGAAACAATTTAATTAAGACATAAGGACAGTAAATCATGCTGTCATCCGCACTCTAATGGATGCCCACACACACACACACACACACACACACACACACACACACACACACACACACACACACACACACACACACACACACGATGCCCTGTCCTTTTAGAATAATTGCAAGACATTTAAAAAACCACAGGAAGCCCTAAAAGTTGAGAAATCCATATTTATAGAATTAAAGATGGGCAATTACTTTTACCTGTGAAATGACCAACAATTATCATAACTCGGAGTGAGGCAAAACAAAGGGAGGAAACGGCAAAATGCCAGTGATGTGACACACGCAGTGTAATCCGCGCTCTAATGCATGAACACAGACACACACACACACACGCACACAGCTGCTAACGAGCAGCGGTGCCAGTCAATACAGCAGGCAGGAGGCACATGACATTTACCACAATTAAATATTGATGCACAGGCAAATGGGTGCTGTGCACATTCTCAAACATGTCGGAAAGGAGGTGCCACATACGTGTGAACGCCTATAGAACCGCATGCACACCACACTACACCATATCGCACATATAAGCAGAGAGAGTGTTGCCAAAGTGCTACTTACAGATTCTTGATTTCCACAGCTCCCCTGAAGCCTTTCCTTGGAATTCCCTGAATCTGGTTTTCGCTGAGATCACTGTACAGAGAAGGAGACAGAAAAAATAAAGGCAGCACAGAGTTAAGCCAAGCTATCACAGGGCCACTTGCTTTGCAGACTAAGTACTTGATATAATCATCAAAATGCAGAAGTTGTGGGTGGAGGGCTTCAGAGCCAGATTGATCATCTGCAAAATTGAGTTCCATCAACACAGAGTACTTCTTCCTCAAATATAATCAGCCGTCTTGGTTCATCTCTCAGGGATACATAAAACACTTCCTTTGTGAAGTGTCCACACATTTAGAGCCAGATGCAATTCAACTGTCTGCTTTGAACATCCACACGAGTCAGGTGGAAGAGGCTCTGAGCCCTCCGGCAGCCTGTAGGGGGCACTAGTGACCTCCACTTACCTCAGATTTCTGTTCCTTCTTTCATCACTCCCACTCATCTCTACCTCACTCCAACCACCCTCTCCTCCCCTGCTTTTAAGGAGTGAGTGATGGATATATGTGTGTGTGTGTGTTTTGGAGTTTACATACACATACACTAAGCGACAGGTTGGCATTAAAAAAGGAAACACTTACTGCAGTCAGTGATACACATGCATGCATACACAGGGCATATAAATACCCTCAAACATACAAACAGGTGCTTCACTGACTAAATGTTATTATAGTGCTTGCCATCATGTGACATACATCCTAACACTCATTGGTGCTGCAGCTTGGTTTATAAAGGACACACACACATGCCCTTAAAGGTGCCGAAGGATGTACTCACAAATAGTTACACGAACAGAGGTGTTAATCACATACGCACATGTGCAAATATAAATAAATTACATAAAGCACAGGCACAAGAATGAATTCAGCTGTCGGGTCAAAATGTGTTACAGCATGTAAAATCAAAGCACTCAAGCAGCTCTGGAAAGATGACACTCAGGCATCCTAAAAGCACCACAGGCTGCCCGGTAGCGAGTGTTTCTGCATGTGTCCTCTGCTTCCAATACAAACCTAAGTTCCAGACAGACCACCTGACCTTTCACCTTTGACCTTCCAGCTCTCGACCCCAACTGTGTCCTCTGCCACACTAATCGGCTAACAGCTAATGCCCATCCACATTCCTCGCATTCCTGCAGTTGTGATCGTTTAATCAGCGCTACAGGTATCTCTCCACCTGCTGCTTCCAGCCCTTCATCTGAAGTGGTAATTTGTTGCCAGTAATAGAGAAAAATTACAAAGCGGGGCGTTTTGAAGACTAAAAACAACAAAGTGGCTTGTTCATTTGGAGCCTTAATATCCAACTGAAAAGACAATGAAAATGCTTCTTTTAGCTTACGAGCCTGTGGGAGGGCTGGCTAGCTGCTGTGAGCTTTGGATTGACAGCTGAGACAGACAGCAGGGGCACAAAGACACAATGTAAACAAGAGTCCTCTGGTAACTGTAGCTTTTTAAGAGGCGTGTGTTAGGAGTGATACTGAAGAAAAGTAATCCATCATTCTGCAACCACGGCAACAGATTGTGTCGTTGGCAGGTAAATGTTTTGAAGATGTTCAAAGTGTCAGAGCTGAGGCACAAGTTCACTCTCAAGTGTCAAAATGACACAAGTGAGTGCACTTTAAGTCAGCGAAAGTGTGCTGAACATTGCATTCGAGATGGATCTATTCCTGCATATAGAAGTTCAATTTTACATCGCTGCAGTTCAGAGTCTCTGGGCTTTTTTTCTTCTGCACATAATTGCCAAATGTAAGCTGGCGATTTGTGCGAACACAAGAGAATTAAATGTAAGATGATCAATAGAAGATGTAGATCATTTTTTACAACTGCCTAATCTTTCAAGTGGTTATGATGCTGCTTTCTCTGCCCTGTGAATCATTGTATGCTGTGAGTCTTTGGATGTTGGATTACCGGTCAGACAAAACAAGGATCTGAGAACGACACGCTGAGCTCCGGAAAATTGTGACGGGAAAAAGCAATAATTAGTTGCAGCCCCCCCCCCAGTAAAATGTGTTCACCTTTGCTGTTTTGCACACGCAAAGCGAACACACGTGTGCTTCTTCTCTTTTATGCAGATACGTACACACACACACACACACACACACACACACACACACACACACACACACACACACACACACACACACACATACACACAAAGTGGCTGGTCTGAATCAAATAGAGTGTATCCTGATACTGTTTTTACAGGACCAAGGGGGTTTGGAAAACAGCCGTGCTCCGTTAACCGCTGGAGCTCGAAATCCAAATAAATGTTCTTTAACTTAACCCAACACAC